GGGAAGCCTCTCGCGGGCGTTCTGTGGGCAGGGTGTGCGTAAAGAAGGCACAAAGGAAAAAGAAGGCTTGGCTCGAGGTTTATTTTCCATGTGCATTATTTACACTCGCCTAAAGCTCAGCTGATCCTTCTCCTCCAACAACTTCGTTTCTCCCAGTCTCCTCCTCCTCCTCCTCCCTCCCTTTTTCTTTTGCCTCGTCTTCCTCTTCTCCTTCTTCTTCTCCTCCTCCTCCCCCTCCTCCCTCCTCATTCTTTTCTTCCTCCTCTTCCTTCTCCTCCTCCTCCTCCTCTTCCGACGTATAGTAGCACGGCAGGTCATCCTTCTCTGACCTCCGCACCTCCATCTCCTCGAAGCACTCCCTTAGAAAGCTATCCTCCGCCTCCTTCACCTCCTGGCTGTCCGCGCATCTCCCATACCTCTCCAGCACCTCCGCGTTCAGGCGCAAAAACTCAGGTCCCCAGGAGAACTCCGACATGAGCGCTTGCGCCGCCGCCTCCAAGCCGACGATGTGCAAAGCGGCCGCCACCGCCTCCGCGCACGTGAGTTTGAAAGGTCGGCCGTAGTTGACGCTGTTGGCCGCCACCAGGTAGGGAAGGAGGCGGGGGACTCCGCGGGACATTTTGGCGAAAGGGATTTCGGCGAGCCGCGCCCAGGAGCAATCGATCACTGATACGCCCCGGGCATCCACCACGGCTCGGTCCTCTCTCGACACCACCTTGTCCGCCTCAGGGCTCAGGATAAGCCCCCGAAACGGTGCTCCGAGCTTCATTTCCTGGATGTAGCCAAGGCGGGCGAGCTTGCGTCCGGTGCAGCGGTTGGGGTCGCACTGGTCGAAGTCCCACATCTGGAGCTTGATGGGAAAATGCTTGCGCTGATGCTCCCAGGCGCCCATGCTGCTCTGTGCGTTTTCAAAGTTCGTGCCAAGATTCGCCTCCTCGTCATGGACGACTTGCCCCGGGGGGAGGGGAAAGCCATCCGAGGGCGGCCCGTCCCGATACTCCCGTGTCTTGAAACGAGAACCGCGGTGGTGGTGGTGGTGACTGCCCCCGCTGTGACCACCGCCGCGTCCTTTTCCACCGCGCCCTCGCCTGCTACCGGAAGTGGTCCTTCCCTCCACAGCAGCGTCGGCTTTTCGGCTGCATTTCATGCTGCACTTGTGCTAATAGCGGAACGGCAAGTCAAAGGGAGGTGGTAGGAGCTTGGCAGGTGACGTGATTTCCCAAACTTCAAGGCTGAATTAAGGCCCGTGGTCCGCAGTCAGGATGCGCTTAGCTGTGCGTACATACAATAGAAATATCAGGAGCATGTCAATTTCATTGCGCATAGTCTCGCAAAGAAGCGCCCAAGGTGGGTTCCAACTTCGCATTTCCAGCCTCCTATCGCCCGGTCACGTCAACAAGTCGCTCTCCGTCTCATTCCCATTTCTTCAAGCCTCATTTTCTTCCTGCCACTATCTCACGGCGCTCAGGTGTTGTGAGCATCCTTCAACAAAGCAATGGTGCGCACCTTTATACCGCAGCCAACACAGGATGATGCTCAAGTCCTACTGGCCAAACGGTTTTTCGTAGTGGGCTGCCTGGGCTTGCCCTGGCTGTGGGCCGTCTCTGTGCTTTACTTCTGGCCTAAACTCCACGGAAATGAAACCGCTGAGCAGACTGGCCAAGCGCATGGAGACAGCAATTTGAACAGAGAAGGACCACGCGTCGCGAAGTCGGAATTACGGAAGTGGGTAAACCGCTCCTTAGTGGGAGCCATAGTAGGCTTCGGCCTCCTCTTTGCTTGGCTTATTTTCTTCCAACTGCGATGGCAGAAATGGGGTTACGGCGTGCTCCCCTACATGGTCAGCGCGCCACAGAGCTATTCGTCGGGATGGTAAAGCAAAGTAAAGGAGCAAGGACAAAATAGACAAAATTTGTAGATTTAATCTGTGGCCCGTGAGTTGTGCATAGCACGAGGAAGTCGCCAAGTCTTTATTGCTTTGTGTGCCACTTCCATCTTTTGACCGGGAGACCATTTGTCATAAAGCGGGACAGTTTTACCCCAC